ATATCCGTCCTTAGATGATAGGAGATTACATGATAACATGTACATCAAACCTTTTTTATTTAAAAAAATACACATAGAAAACGTCTAGAAGGATGTGATATGCATCCCACATTTTAGCAACGGTATCTCCAGCTTAAAGGATGACGACTATCTTTAAATCTATTCCTTTTACTTCTCCTTTTTTTTTTTTAAGTTTTCTATAATAAGCACGTATTTTGAAGTTGGAGAAGCCAGTAAGAGTTATTAAAATTTAAAAACAGGAAATCTTTAATTCTTTGGTAAACAATAATACAAACCTTAGCAATAGGCATAACAGTTTTCCTAAATTATGTTAATTTCCCTCTTAAAGACTTTAATGTCTATACACAAAGTTATCTTTTCATTCCCCTGATACAAAAAAGAAAAAAGAAAGGAAGAAAGAAAAGAAATAAAAGAAAGAAAGAAAGAAAGAAAAGACTAACAAATTCTCAAAGTCCCAGGAAAAACTTGAAGATTGTAGTTGACTTTTCAAAGCAAACATCACTCGTAATACCAGTTATTCTATTCTCAGCTCTGCATCATTGAAGAGTTTTACGGAGCCCAGCTTCGTATCGGTGACTTTGGTCATTTTGCCATTTTCCTTCCATCTTCTCCTTCATTGATCTTATGGCACAATCTCATTAACTGTGCATCAGATCAGACACTGCAATTTTCAGAATGTGTCTAGAAGGCTGACTGGAAGGCTATACTTTAAAAGTTAACAATGGTTACCGCTGCATAGAATTAGAGCGTATCATTTTCTTTTCTCCTTTTCACCTATACATGCTTTTCAAATTACCTATAATGAGAATGCAACTATTATAATAGGACAGTTTGCATTTCTGAAGAAATACAATGGAAATAAAACAGAATGTTAAATAAAGTTATTCCTTCTGGTGGCCACATGCTTTCTTTTAAAAATTATTTTCATTTGTTGACATTTTCTATAATAATCTTTCAGTATTTTATAATAGAAAATGTTTTCATATTTAATTTTTGAAAATATAGAAATATTGGGTCAGCCAGTAGAGAAGTGGGTATTATGACTAGACTTTGTGGTCTAAGTCACGGACCTGGTAGCTTGGAAAACCATGCAGGCACATGTGCATGCATGTCCAGAATCCCAAGAGGAGAATGGAGAAGGGACCGCGTCATGGCCATCTCCCCTGGGGGATGATTTCTCACTTTCTCTCTCTTCCAGAAAGCACACATACACACACAAATAAAATAAAATATAAAATAAAATTTAAAAAAATATTGAAGACTAGGGCATGGTCTAAGGGTCTGTAAGTCAAAGAGGAATCCCTGAGGACAGGTTGGAGTCCTGCCTGCATGGATTTTGTCCCAAACTTTGGGTTGGCTTGGTGGCTATTCTGCTTTGGAAGAATTGGGCCCAGGGGTGTTGCAAGCTTGTTAACAGGCTATCTTTTGGGACAGCAGCATGCACCATTTTAGGAAAGCTGATCACATGTATTTTCAACTGAAAAATTTCTCTGGACATCTATCTCTCTATGGATAGAGGCCAAAGAAAAGGCAAGCATGTCTGGCCCAGAAATCTATGTGAACACGGGGAGTTAAGGAAAAGCCACTTTTCTTCTTACAAGGATTGATTGGCTTGCGGGGTCCCAGCTGGAACTCGCCGGGCACATATCCTCCTTTGCATCGAGCCATTGCATTTGTTGGCTTGAAGGGGTCTGTCAGCATTTCATTATAACCCCCTATTGTCAGGGGCTTAGAATTCAGCCGTAAAAACTTGCACTGAGCTGGAACTTGGCACACACTGCTACCGCCAGGAAGTGAGGTTTGTATGTAAAATTGAAAAAACATCTGTTTGGCCACTTTTTGAAGTAGTGTGAGAGCAAAAGCCGGTAAAGATGCAGGTTTTTGATACTCTACATTGGCTGTAACACAATTCAAACTTGACCAAGAGACTTGGCTTTATTTCTCATTTAATGTCCTGGCAAGTGGTCGCTCCATGGTGTGGCCCAGCCATATCTGACTCATTTAAAAAATGAAATGAAAAAAAAAGTCATAGAATTGTGTTTTCAGACACAAACAACTGAATTGACCAAATGTTTTCTCCTAGGCTTTTTTTTTTTTTTTTTTTTTGTCAGTATTTCCCAGAGAAGTCATGACTTCGCTGGTTAGAAATTCAGGTCAGGTGCTATTGTAATGAACTCCACTGGGTATTCAGTATTTTTGCAGTAGGGGAATTTGCTAGTAATGAATGCACTATTTAGAATCCCATTCCCATCCACAACCCCTTCAGACCCTCTCTTGGAAAACGAAGGTGCAAATGATCACCCCAGATAAAGTAAGGGCTGGTAGTAGGTCCTCCATGGTGTCTCTTATGCCCGGTCAGCAAGGTGTCCTCTTCTCTTTCACTTTTTCCCATTCTGTTTATGTGGTCTTATTTTAACGGGCAATTTGAACACTTGAGGGGTTATTATTTTTTGTGAATTAGTGGGTTTCGGTAGCCATGAAAGGCAAGTGGAAGGAAGTTGTCATTAGCTGGAGTAGGAAGGGTTTTACCCTACCAAACTAATGATCTACTAAGAAACATTAAACAATTAACACCCACCTGGGCATTTTCACTCACCTTTTCTCTCTCCCTCTCAGCTCTCTCTCTCTCCTTCCTCACTACTATTCTGTACTCCTATCATTACATTGACCATTTTTAAAATCTATAGAACAATGATTTCATGTGATTCTGCCTAATTCATTCATAAATATATGATTGAGTCATATAAAACTGTCATTTTTATAGACCAGAAAAGGTTGAATGGAAGGAATTCCATAGGGTTCGACTGAATAATGTATTATACATATAATAAATATTTTGTATATTACTGAATAGTTTTAAGACATGGTATTCTGAGTCTGATGGCATGTATTCTTGTCTCATTTTTACTATTTATTTGCTGTAAATCCTTGAACACATCATTTAATCACTTTTCCTCTCTGACAAGGAAAAATGATTATGGTAATAATTACTATACCCATGTCACAAGGTTGTTGTAAAGATCTGACTGGACTCTACATGTGAACATGCCTTTTAAGCTGTAAAGTGAAATACAGCAGTTAATTATTCTCATTATCATCACCATTAGGATGTGACATTATTTACAGGATGGATCTGTTGCTGTCGCATCTCTTGTAGGGGTTGTTAAAGATGTTTTCCACACAGGGCACTGTCTCCATAGGAAGATTGGGAAAATCTCTCTAAGGTCTTAGCAATAGAAGTATCCACCTTTCTCCTGAGTTACTTAAAAAAAATAATGTGTGGATATAAAATCTTACAACAAACAATATTTCTTTTCTTAGCATCTTGTAAATTTGAAACTAAATTAATGGCTCCCTTGAATTGACCAAATGTCATTACACCTAGATTTATCTAGTTTTCCTAACCCCATTTCTTTTCATTTTCCTTGGTTTCTCACTAGTTTCTACTTCATACTACCATTTGACTATTATGATTCCTCAAGACATTTTTGTGGAACAGGATAAGGTAAAAGAAGTAAAGAAAGAAATCAAGCAATCATTTGTTGTCCTAGACCATGCTAATCTAACTAATCTGAGCCACCCGACAACTGAACTCAAGTCTTTGCAGTAACAAAATTTCTGTTGTACCAGAGGAACCTACCTTTGCTCTGCCCTGCTATCTAGTACTCAGTCCTTATCACACTGCAGAGAGCATTAAATGTATGAATTGAAAAAAATAACACAAATAAATCATGGCCATGCATCTCCAGGGAAGCAAAGGTCCAAAGGCTATGAGAGGCAACCTCTGTGACATATTGCTTCCTGAGGGACAGGAGAGAGGGCTGTGTGCTGTCCTTGACATGTCCTTGTTCCTGGCACTGGAACACCACTCTGGGTGAAAGAGGGCAAGCTGGGGAGCTTTGCAACAAGTTCAGCATTTCAAGAACTCTCTACTCAATCACTTTGGACTCTTCAGCTTGCCTTAAGGTCCCCTGGCCTTTAGTATTCCCTAAGTAGATTTGAAAAACACATATTCTCTCAGGATCCTGGAATCATTGTGTAAGTTCCCAGCTTGGCTCCCAAAGCAACCCAAATGACTTTTCACAACTTCCCAGAGCACCAACTTTGCCGATAGGCCATAGATTGAGACTAAGAGGTTCTGTCTCAATATATCACATTATTACATGCAGTCAACTTCCACCTCTCTGGAGGTACTTATGAGGGGGTGGGGGTGTACAAAGCCATGTCACAAAGTAAAAAAGGGCCATGATGTGGCATACAAAAATAACCTGGAGTCCTCATTCTATGCTGAAATTATTACCCTGCTATATTCTAGTTGTCTTCATTGTCTGTAACATAGACTAATAATACAAACCTTGGAAAGTTCTTATGGAAATCAAATAAAATATTATGTCAGAAAGTACCCAATGAGTGTGCACATACGAACTAAAATCAAAGTGTGATTCCTCACTCCCATCTGCATAAGCTGCATATATTTGCTCTATAGAGAGGGAATCATGTCATTTTTTTTTCTTTTACCAGAAGACCTTGAGTAAACAAATAAGTTGAAGTCCAGGTAAGAGAAAAGAACAAAAGGCAGGAAGAACATTTCATCAGAAAATTGGACTTCTTTCCAACAAGTTAGATTTAGGAATGTGATTTCCCTTCAAAGGGCTAAACAGAAAAACACACACACACATGTGTGCCGTGCACACACACACACACAGAAAAAGAGGCATGAAGAGCACAGTGGACAAATAGGGAACACTCACTTACTTCCATAAGGGGAGCCTGTAGGTGAGCCATTCAGAAACCCTGGTGATCCTGGCATTTCATCAGAAAATTGGACTTCTTTCCAACAAGTTAGATTTAGGAATGTGATTTCCCTTCAAAGGGCTAAACAGAAAAACACACACACACATGTGTGCCGTGCACACACACACACACAGAAAAAGAGGCATGAAGAGCACAGTGGACAAATAGGTGGAACCGTCACTTACTTCCATAAGGGGAGCCTGTAGGTGAGCCATTCAGAAACCCTGGTGATCCTGGAACACCCAGGTTTGCCATGGGGACATTGCTGTAGCCATTCATACTGTTACTGGAGGTACTGTAATTAGACTGTTGAGGTGTGGAGCTGGAAGAGTAGCCCCGTGGAGAGATGCTGCTTGTGTTGCGGATGTATCCTTCACAACAAAGGAAAAGCCCAGGTAAATCAATCAGTACACACTGTCAGGCCAAATGCAGCTAGCACAGGTCCACATGGTTCCCAGACTAGAGATACCACCAAGCTGTCCCTGGGCAGTGATGGCAAATGTACAGTTCATTTCAGTCTTCCTCTGTCTAGCCTATCCTCCAAAAAGCAGAATTCTTGATATTCTCTCCCTCCTCTTCTTTCAAACCTGTACTTGGCATCCCTACCTCACACCAAGGAGTGAAAAACTAATAGCAGTGTGGAGTGCCATCTCCTGAATCATGTTTCACATGACACTGGGGTCCTCAGATATCAATTGGTGTCACAGAAAAGTATTCTGTGGTCCAGTAAGGGTAGGCAGATATTACATACTGTGGCATTTCTTGAGAGTCTACATATGAAAGTCCTGGAGAATAAACAAACTGGCTACCTTTGCTAATCTAATGTTTCCCAATTTAACCCACCATAGTATCACTTCAGGGGTGGGGTGGGAACAAAGTCACCTTAATTTCATTTCCAAGGCCACTTGTGTTCTGCAGAATATAGTTTCAGAAATGTTATTATACCCTATGTGGGGGTAGGAATCATTTTTATTCAAACAGTATTAATGACTTCATCTAACTACATTGTTCTTTGATTTTAGATTTTAAGACATCAACAACTGAATGTGGGGAAATTTGGTCTATGAATAAGATGGAGGAAGGGGTAATTAATCTTCCTTACACTTCTGAAACTCCAACATAGAGATATCAAATAATTTATCCTGAAATAAACCACATTGGATAACTATCTCTAAAGCTATTTAGGAAAAAACTCATATTTGTCACTAAATGAAAAAGAATTTTATATATGGTTCATAGGTCCCACATCCCCAAATAAATAAACAAGTAAAGTAATAATATCTCTCATTTGTTCTTTTATAAGAGGAACTTAACGTGGGCAAAAAAAAATGAGGAATTTCTTCTAATGAATAAATGACATTAGTTATACAGCTATCCCAAGGTTAGGGATATCATTAGGAATATTTGTTCCTTTTACAAAGTGACTTATGGTTGGTTTTGACTAGCACTTTAATAATAAAATACACCTAAATTTAAAAAATCTTCATGCAATGTATTTGACATGTAAAAGCACAGTTGACTGCATTGTTGTTGCTATATATTTGCGTATGAGATAATACACAATAGAAGTTATCAAACAGATCCAAATCATCCCTTCTTGGTTACCAGAAGAGAGATTTAGGTCAAAATAAATGATAATAGCCCTAATCGGCCTCGTTTCATTATTCAGTCTGATTGTCACAATAGCAGAAGTGTACATTTTATTCAATTAATAACTGTAAGGCTAGTTTCTGTAAGCCCAAACCCTTCTAAATTCATAACAGTCAATCCTATCCTTAAATATTTTGTTAAAGAGAAATAATGTGAACCTAGTATTTAAAAAGCTCAAAATCTAAATAATAATATACCACCTATAATGTTGAGATAATCTAACTTATGGTTGCATTGTTTATCTAGGGACACTCTTGGTTTGACGGTATATAACTGGCACTATAACTCCTTCCACTTTAGCAGAAGAACCTATCCCTGTATTCGGTTTGACTCTGAAGGAAGTGGTACCTTGGTTATTTCCTTGTGTTGACTCTGAGATGCTGACCCCAAGCTGGCTGCCATAAGAGTTGATTCCCATCATGCCACTGTGAGCTGGGGAGCTGGACAGAGCTGGAATCTGGCTGGGATTCCTGGGGACACTGTAGAGGGCTTCCGCAATGTCTGCAGCTCGCTTCAAAATGATGTCCTGCAAAAGGACAGGTTGAGGTGAGCATGTTATCTAGTGTGAAGAGTCAAACTCAACAGAGTCTAAGATGCGCGCTTCTAACCTGGTTATTGTGGGGTGTGCCATAGAGGGCCTCCACCAGATCAGCAGCTCTTTTCAACAGCATTTCCTGGAAAAGAAAAAAAAGGAGGTGAGGGTGAGGTATAAGCAAAGGCAGACCCAAAGGGAAATTACCCATAAAAATGGAAAGTCTACACATCTCCCCCAATCTAAATAATTAGCCAAGAAGTCCTATATCTTTGACAGATAAAATATAGTCATTCATATAAATCCCTCTATAAATAAATATCAACATGAAATTCACCTCTATAAAATGTCTCCATAAATGGTTGTACTGCCAAAACAGAAAGCAATCTACCATATTGAGAATGGGGTTGGTTAAAATTAATAATGTCAATGGAAGTTTTATTAAAAAGCACTTTCAGACTAACTTATTAAGAAATCTGGTACTCTAATTAACCAAATAGTCTTAAAATGATGGATGGATCTGACTTTAGTAGCTTGCCAAGGAGTTGTCCAGAGTACTGAAATTGTCTTGGCAATGCCTTCTGTAAAATTTTATTCTAATAAAGATGAATTCTTTCAATAATATTTCCCCATGTTCACTTTAACCAGGGAGAATTAGCAATCACTAATCCCTTTCCTCTCATTTTGTCTTTTCCACCTCCTGTTTTTTACAGCCTTTTAAAGTGCTATTAACCTACTTTCCAGATATCATCTCATTTAATGGTGGGACTGGGGATTTTTCCAGGAGGAAAATAAAGGTGTGATGTAGAAGCAACTGTGGTACTTTAATTTTATTTGCAGTACAAAGACGAGACCATGGCATTTTATAATTTGTGTTTTTAAACTGCATATACGAATGTAAAAATTTAATAGTTTTCCATTAAATGGCAACAAAAAAATCTACGTATCTTTTTAAGTTAAGAAAGCTAACATCATGGGCCAGAAATGTAATGTGATGCTTGCAGTCAAATTCATGTAAAAGTGATGCATTTCTTAGAAATTTTATATGGAGATGTTTTTCTCTTTATTAGATACCTATGCATCAATGAATAATTAGTTGATTGTGGATTAATGGGCACAATGTGGGGTTAATCATGAGTATATGAAATCATATTTTAAAACAAAGGAGTTGGAGCTTACACTTTTAAGCAATTATGCAAATATTTTTAGAAAGTTGGCAAGATTTTATAAACCAAGTATTGTTGTTCTGTATCTGTTTCATAAACTTAAATTTCCAGATTTTGTATTTCCTCAGAGATTAATCATAATATAGTTCATAGTTAATAAGTACGTTATGTGCATCTTATATCTAAAGCTTAGCCAAATTCCAAGGCTTAATTTTTGTTTTGTTTTGTTTTTGTCATAGGGATCATGCACTTGGCCAGGGAGAGACAGGGAGAAAGAGGGTAAGTGAGGAAGCACCCCTCAGGAGGGATGGCCACACTACAATCCCTTCTCCTCCTGAGATTTTCGGCTTGCATACATGCATGCAAACACCCTCAGCATGATTTTCAACCCTCCACGTCTGAGATGTGAACCACAGTCGACCATATGGAAGTCCAGTGCCATAACCACTATGTGAACCTGCTAGCCTCCAAGGCTTAATTAATTGTAATGGGACTTAAAGGCTGGCTTTGTCTACATTTGTTGAAATTCCAGGGGAAGGTTTTTATGTGTAACTTTCCAAAATAGTTTACCTTAGCTAATCTCTCTGGATCTCCAGGATGCCTTGGGATGACTTTTTGCAGTCTCTGGAAGCCATAGTCTATGGTGGGTTCATTTAATGCTGGAAGAATAAAAAACTTTTCATTGAATATATATCTCAGCCATAAAGCAAACCTTCAAATTAAGTATTCCACAGGTAACAAAGAGGTCTGATATTATCTAAGAACAGATGCATGTTGGATGGAGCCACGTTGGGTATTTGCTACTGACCTTGGTTACTTCCCACGTAAGTTTGGAATTTATCATAATTTTATCTTTTCCCATTATAATAATATCCAAAATTGCAGCATGTTATAATGATCATTTCTGCATTAACTACACACACTTACAATTTTCTGCTTGCTCTTAAGTAATCAAAAACATTACACAACCAACCATATCCCAATTTTACAAAGAAAACAAACTACCTTTAGATCATTTTCCCTTTTCCCCTTCCTCTCTTCTGTTTGACAAGAATGCTTTTACCATCTCTTAAGCCTTCTATCATCTTTTCTTACTCATTCTCTTCAATGTTTTCATTCATGCATATATAAACTTTCATAAGCTTATTCTCATAAAACCCTGTTCTTAGGCAAAGTACACTTGCACAAGGTACAGTTACATCTAGTTACACATATATTTTTAAAATGTCAAGTTCTCCCATTTTACTGCAAGGTCTATGGGCACAGAAGTCACTGTAGTTCCCCATGTTCTCATTTCAAACAGGGCCTGGGATATAGTGCACACTTAGTATCAGTCATTGTAAAAGAAATGAGTGAATGAATACATGAATGAATGACATACCTCAACATTGCTACTATTCTAAAGCACTGTCTGAATTCATTCTTTTATTCTTTCTCCTTCCTCCTTTCCTTCATTTATAAAATGTTTATTATGTAAATGTTATGGAGTTTTAAATTTTTATTGATTTATTTATTTCATGAGATAGAAAGGAGGAGAGAGAGAGATATTCAACATGGTCTTCATGCCACAATCCACCCCCAGCCTCAGACTGCCCAGGTCATGAGCACATGTGTGCATACGCAGCATGTGCAGACAGGCTTCAGGAAGCCAACTGGGACCTCCCACGTTAGTCCAGCATCAGAGTTGTGTTCCTACTATGCCATCGCTGGCCCTAATGTTATGGCTTTAAAATTAATGCATGACTTGGGACCAGCAGATGGCCTAATAGTTGTGTTGCTGGACTCCCACAGAGCTGGCTGCAATCTGAGTCCCGGACCTGGTGATTAAAACTCATGGCAAGCATGTGTGTATGTGTGCCCAAGATTCTAAGAGGAGAATAAAGGAGAAGGGATTGCAGTGTGACCGTTCCTCTGAGGGGTGATTTCTCGCTTTCTGTCTCTCTGTCTGTCTCTCCAAGAAGTGCATGCACCCTATAGCTAAAATCTCTCTTAAAAAAAATAATGGATGATTTAAGAAAAGACAAAGATACAAAGAATAAAATAATAATTGTCTGCATTCCTTCCCTGGATTTTTTTTAGGCAGGAGTGTGTATTTCTTTAATATTCTTTTTTGCATTTCCATTTTTTAAATATTTGTTGCCATTATTCTATCAAAAGGATACTTTTTCTTTAAATAACCTATAAAAAATCTTAGATAGAGAAGTAAAAATAAAATTATAAACACGCCACTTAAGAGATGACTGAATTAACATTTTTGCTTATATCCTTCCAGATTTAAACACTCAGTAGTATTTAAAATTATTCAGCCATAATATTCACACTATTATATAATCTGCTTTTAGTCCATTTAACAATATATCATAAATTTTCCCTCAGGATATTAAATATTCTTTTCAAACATTATTTTAAATTCTTGTGTATTTTTCCATGACATGTTCTCTAATTTATTTAAATAGCTTCTGAATGTGGAACATTTAATTTCTCATTATTATAAAAATCAGAGCAATAAATGATTTTGTGCATAACTTTAATGGTTTCAACTGGAATATTTTAAGAATTAGGATTACTGGACCAAAAATTATGATTTATTTTGAGGCCTTTCACACCCACTATCAAATCACTCCTCAAAAGGATGTCTGAATTTACACTCTCTCTAGCAATCATGTGGTCATTTTAACTTACATTTCTTTACTCACTGGTAAAGTTGAAGAATTTTTTTCTTGTGTTGGTGATTGTTTTATTTTTTTCATTTTATGAACACATAATAATACTTTCTGCACTCTTTTCTATTAGGGGTTATTTTTTTTGCCTTTGTCTATTAAGATTTCTAACACCCTGTCATCATGTTGCAATATCATATCTCTATTTGTCCTTAGGCATTTATATATAGAAAGGCCAGCTCCACACTAAGATGTGGTACATACACAATACACACATGCACATATAGGTATGCATAAGCATACATGTATGAATTCTTAAATTATTTCACTTTTCTGAGTTTTATTTTGTTGCCTAACATTAAGTATTTGTATTTGCCACAACTTTTATTAAAATAATTATTTATTTAATTTTACTTATTATTATTTTTCTTTAATTTACTATAGGGTATGTGAAGTCAGCAGAGAGAGAGACATAGAGAGAGAGGGAAAGTGAGAAAGAAAATTGCCAAGAATGGGACTCAAACCACCGTCAGCCATGTGACAGTCAAGCACCTTAACCACCATGCCACCTGCTGGCCCATTTGACCACAACTGAATGTTACTATGTATTGAGTGTTTTCTAGACATCCTATTCTGTTGCAGTGATATGTTTTTATTTCTATTCTGGGTGAGAACCGTGCTGTTGTGGCTGTATCCATAGTATAGTATAATATTCATGAATATTCATAGTATACATGCCTTTCCACCAATACTCAGTCTTTTAAAACTACACATTTTCAATGTACAAAAGAAATTAAAATAAAGTAAAATCATTAAAAATTTAAAAACTACATTTTTTCAACTAGTCTTAGCCATTTATTTTTCCAGATGAACTTTAGGAAGTTTTCTAAACATAGTTCAGTTGCATCAAACCTATAACCAGAGAGAACATGAATAGTTTGACGATGTCGATACCCCGTCTCCTTATGTCCCCCAGTAAAATGTGTACTGATCATCATATAGACATTAACTTTTTAAAATTAATTCATTAATTTCTTGCATGAGAGAAAAAGAGACAGAGAGGGAGAGCCAGCCTCAGTAGGGTCTTCATGCCACAATCCACCCCAACCTCAGCCAGTCATGATCGCAGGCACACATAAGCACACCTGACACACATGAGGAGACCTTGGGGCGCTGGCTTCAGCATTATGGAGCTTTGTGTTACCACTATGTCACCGTAGCTGACCTGCTTTTCATTTTTAGTTTTTGCAATGCATTTCGCTTTCTGTTGTTTTTATTGTGAGTATGATTATCTCCACGTCGCAGTTTCTAGTGTCTAAAACACTTTTGGTTTTCATCTATCTGTGTGGACAGTATGATGTGGGAGGGTAGTGTGTAGGAGGGTATAGTAGAGTCATTAAGAGAATCAGCATTTAATCCAAGTAGAGCTGGTTTCAATTCCAGCTCCCTCATTAATTCCTGTAAACTCTATTTAAACTCCATTTGCTGGGTTGCCAGCAGGTGGCATGGTGGTTAACACCCACAGGGTCGAATGCAGTTAAAGTCCTGGACTGAAAATTACACCAGGCCCTGTGTGTGTGTGTGTGTGTGTGTGTGTGTGCATGTGTGCCCAAAATCTTAAGAGGACAGTAGAGGAAAAGGGAATGCGGCATGGCTATCTCCAGTAGGGATGAGTTCTCACTTTTCCTCTCTCTGTATCTCCCTCTTCGGCAAGCACATGTACACTACTGCAATAAACACTAAAAAAAGGAAAAAAAATCGATCTCTTGAGTAGGCTGTCAAAATTAAACAATCCATACAATGTTTGACATATAAACAATCCTGTCCAAAGGTAGCTAAGCTAGCTGTAAGTTTGTAATCAAAATTCCAACAGGTATCACTATTTTTTTCCTATTCATTCTTTCAGGTTTGTATTTCATATCATTTTATGTATAATAGTCATTTTCCTTTCTTTTGATAGGGATATTAATCCCATTTGGTCTTCTCAACTTGACACACTTCACTGGGGGACCTGAGAAGATGGCGTGTCGATACTGTAAAGCTATTCATTTTCTCTCTAGTTTTAGGTTTAGTAGGATTCTATTCCCATGTTGGCTAAAACTTTGCAAATAGTGCCTCTAAATGAGATTGATGTTGGATATTCTTACCTGTTTTCTTCTACATGGGAATGACACTAACATGACACCACCAAGTGTCATATTGGCTATTTGAGATAGTTACTATTTATCATGCTTCAATAAAGGCTTTTTATCAGGATTTGCTGGAATTTTAGAAAATCACAATTGTATGAAATGTTCTACTTTGACCAGTTTATATTGTATTTTGTAATTGATTTTCTATTGGGTTGTCAGAAAAGTCATGACATGGGACCAGCAGATGGCATAATGGACTCCCATGTAGTCGACAGCAGTTTGAGCCCTGGACCTGGTGGCTTAAAACTCATGCTGGGCACATGTGCATGCATGCCCAAAATCCCAAGAGGAGAATGAAAGAGAAGGGATTGTGGGGAGTAATTTCTCACTTTCTGTTTCTCTGGTGAGTGCATGCACCCTATAGCAAAAAAAGCTCTAAGAAAGAAAGAAAGAAAGAAAGAAAGAAAGAAAGCAGAAGGAGCAATATTATTGGGTCATTAGGAAAGCCATGACTCATTTTTGCATAGAAAAACATAGAAGAAATACATCATGACTATTCCAACAACCCAATAATATTCACATTTAACATTAACTCACGAATGTGGTATATAATCTTCTTAGTATATTTCTGAAATCAATTTGTTAATTTTGTTTTTGCTTTAGCTTTTTTGCTATAGGGTACGTGTGCTCACTGTAGAAGAACAGAGAGAGAGAAAGTGAGAAATCACCAGGCAATGGCCACATCTCAGCCCCTTCTCTTCCATTCTCTTCTTGGGATTCTGGGCATGCATGCACATACAGCCAGTGTGTTTCACAAGCCACTGGGCTTGGGACTCGAACCACACAGTCAGCCATCCAGGAGTGGAA